TGGGGTGTCTGTGGGGATCATTGAGAAGGGGGACAGAAGGCCCTGACATAAATAGAAACGAGTATTGGGCCTCCCTGGTGGAGCAAGGGGTTAAGCCTCAGCACTATGAAGCTATACGCAGCCACTGCAGCACAAGTTCGATCCCAGGCCAGGGAGGTGACCCACATGGCGCAGCAGACCTCTCCTGTCTCGCCTGCTGCTCCCCTCAGCAGTGTATTTCAGTCGATCCTCCTGTTCTGCTCCACATTCTGTCTCTGGTGAATCCTCTCACTGCCCCCTCCCCCACCTCTGGCCTGTACCCCCATTCTTGTATGCATAAATAAATCTTTAAAAAAAAGAGAAACGAGTGTTAAAGGGGCTGGGCATCCTCTCTGGCTGTGTGTACAGCACCCCATCCTTACAATAGATTTATGCCATAACTGCTCTCATCCCCCAGGTTATAGTTAGGGAAACTAAGGCACAGAGCAGACTAGGGAGCTTGTCATAGGCTGCACAGAAGGAGTAGACCTTGAATTCGGTCTCAAGACAGTCAGCCCACACTCACTGGAGTACCTGTCCCCTGTTAAGTTCTTTGGGAGACAGCTGCCCTGCAAACTAAAATATTCTCTCTCTCTAGGTGGTGGATGAAGGGGCAAGAGGTGAGACCATCTCTGATTTACAAGGCCTCAAAGGAAAAAACAACAACAACAACAATAATTCAGTGTATACTGTTTAATATATCCAGGGCAGGAGCCAGACTCTTGCTAAGCCGCTTTGAATCTTGATGTCAATACTGACTTATTTCTGACTCCAGTCCCTCTCAACACATCCTTCACCTAACTTCTTCCCAAATGGCCAGACCCCGATACAGCTGCTGGTGGTGACTCTGGGAGCGCTGAACCTGACAGTCAGTTTGGAGCAAACGTCAACACTCTTCAGCAACGTCACTGCACTAACAGAAGCTTGTGTGGCACCTTCATGCATTCTAAAAATGGGTGACTGGTTCTTAATAATTGGAGATGCCAAGTTCCCCTAAAAACTATCCAAACACAAGGATTAGGCAAATTCTGGTGCAAAGACCCCACCAACAGAATATATTATTATTATTGCTAAAAACCATCGTTGGCAGTGAAGAGAATATGACCTGCCTGTTCTTGGAATGTGCTCTCAGAAATGCCCAGGGACATGGCCATGAGATAGTTTTGTATTGTTGAGACCATCTGGACAGGTAATTAAATCCCAGCTGAAGACTCTATATAAACTTGAGATTTGGGGGGGCAGGTGCAGAGTAGTACTTGTCTTTTAGCCACTGGAGACAAAGCCTCACAAGTAAGTTCAGTTCCCTTGATCATTAAAACTTCCACCTACCAATATGGAGCAGCCTGCCTTGCTCATTGGGCTCACTCTGCCCTCCCTGTACAGGGGCCAGTTTCAGAGTACACCTTGGAAGCTCCTGAGGTTGCCACCCAACAAGTGTATGTGGTCCTCTTACAGCAGGTGTAGGGGAATCTGGGTTACGGTGAGCTATGGAAGAGCCAGGAAGGACTAACTGGTGATGCTGTCTTTGCTTGCACTGGATTAAAGGTAGATGTTCTGGGGGGCATCCCTGGTGGCGCAAAGGGTTAAGACGCAGCACTATGAAACTATCATCAGCCACTGCAGCATGAGTTCAATCCTAGCCAGGGAGGTGACCCACATGGCCCAGCAGATCTCTCCTGTCTTGCCCGCTGCTCCCCTCGGCAGTGTATTTCAGTGGATCCACCTGTTCTGTTCCCCGCTCTGTCTCTGGTGAATCCTCTTACCTGCCACACATCTGGCCTGTACCCCAGTTCTTGTATGCATAAATAATAAATAAATCTTAAAAAAAAAAAAGGTAGATGTTTTTGCTTTTGATTGCACTTGAACCAAAGCTCTGACTGTGGTACATCCCTGTGATCCTCACCCAGCAGTGATTTGGGGAACATTTTCGGTTGTCACACTGGGAAAGGATTCCTAGTGACATCCATGATTAGAGGCAGCAATGCTGCCACGCGTCTGACAAGACCCAGAACAGCGTGTACTACAAAGAATTACCCAGCTCCAAATGTCAACAGTGCTGAAGTTGAGAAAACAGGGGCGGCCCCAAGAGCCATCTCTCATTTTTCCATTCAATGGTGAGATCGCGTAGTAGAGTGCGCTGCACAATCTTAAATGCTTTGGCCAAATGCTTGCCATATGCACACATGCTGACTTCAGGACTTTCTTCAGTCCCCTTCTGGCACGGAGGTTGCATGTGTCCTGGAACTGCATGGCGGGAAGAATGAGAACCTTCACTCCCACTAGTTCCTCCTGCTGCTGGGTTTCTCTTTCCCCCAAACTCCCCACCCTGTGCTGCTTTTCAATTGTTTTCTACATCAGCATTGTGCCTCTTCTTAGCACAGGACTAATTAAGGCTTAAAACTATGCATAAAATGCCCAATTTCAAGTTTTCACAATCAGATCTCTAGAGGGGGGAGAGAAAAGGACTAAAAGCTGTTCCCCTGCTTAGGGTTAGAGTTGTGCACCTTTGTAATATTCCAAGGACAGATTAGGGCCTTCTCCAGATGTCCTATGACCCTGCCCCATCACACCATGATATACTTATAAAAACATAAAACGGGTATTACATCGGGCCTCCCCGGTGGGACAGCGGTTGAGCGCTGGGTTGCGAAGCTGCTTGCAGCCTCTGCAGCACTGGTTCGATCCCAGGCTGCTCCCCGGCCACCAGAGGAGGGTCCCACATGGCGCACAGACCTCTCCTGCCGCCCGCTGCTCCCCTCAGCAGTGTACTTCGGTCCTTCTGCCTGCTCTGCTCCCCGCTCTGGCTCGGTGAATTCTCTCACCCTCCTGCGCTTCTGACTGTACCCAGTGCTTGTATAAATCAATCAATCAATCAATCAATCAATTTTAAAAAAGAAAAAAACAGGTATTACATCCAATCATACTCACAAAATTTGAAACTGGTAAATGGAGTGATTTTTTTAAAAATCATACTAATTTTTATTGAGGTACCTGGATTACACACTGTGTATGATTTAGAGACACACACTCAAGACTCTTCAGATGTTTATCACCACACGGTACCCACTATAGCACCCATAATCCTCTACCCTAGTCCACTGGCCTCCTTGTCCCCATCTTATCCCTCTCATAGCTCATCCTGCAGTCAGCTGTCTAGGGTTTGTAGAGAGCTTCAAAAAGGTCCTTCACGTTCAAAACACCTATCACATTCACTTTTTACATAAAGGAAAAGTAGGGCCCTCCCTTGTGGCCCAAGGGATTAAGTTGCAGCACTCTGAAGCTGTCTGCAGCCTCTGTAGCACAAGTTCGATCCCTGGCCAGGGAGCTACCCACATGGCGCAGCAGACCTCCCCTGTCTCAGCCTCTGCCTGTATTACACTCCCTCAGCAGTGTATTTCAGTCAGTCTGCCTGTTCTGTTCCCCGCTCTGTCTCTGGTGGGTCCTCTCACCCCCTCCCTCCCGTACTGCACCCCAGCTCCAATATGCATAAATAAATCTTAAAAAAAAAAGGACAAATAATTTTCAAATGTCCTAGAAACTTAAAATTGTCCAGGAAGATTCCTCCTCTGGTCTGCACATTGGTGTTGACTGGTCTCTCCTCCCTCCTTCATCTTCCTTCCAGTCATTCATCCTCTGCACAAACATCCCCCCGCCCCCCCCCCTCATCCTACTGTCCCCTGAAGGAATCTGCAGAGCGAGAGGCAGCAGTCCGGGCTGATGGCAACTCCTCCTCTTCCCTTCCTTGTGGTAAAGGTGGAGTGTGCCGCTTCCTGAGGTGAGGCCCAACCTGGGGAAATAGGGGGACAGAACTACCTGGTTAGGAACACCTGATCATCACCCCTTTGGGTGGCCCCCAAAACCGCCATTCCCGCACTTGACTCACCTGCCTTATTCAAGAAAAGCTCCTTCTTGCTAACTTGCTCAGTGGGGCTCCGCCAGTTTTTCAGGGCGGAAGAGCTGTCCCCCGTTCCTCGTTCCTCGGGGTGTCTCCGGGTCCCTGCTACGTGGAAGATGGGGCGAGGGGTGGGGGCTGGGTTAAAGCTGGACTTGAAATTCTGTGAACTTAACAATAACCCCCTCCCTCCGAGTCGGAAAGGCCTGTGCACCCAGAAAAGAGCTACTTCCACCTGCTGTGGTGAGCAAGCCCTGTCCGTCCTCCTACCTCTTTAACTGGGGGGCGCCAGGGGTGGGGAGGTACTGTTCACCCCAAAATTTCCTCCAAGTGGTGAAGGGAACATGCCACCGCCTGGGGGCTTTGCGCATAGAAGCGGAGCGTGTGGGGGGGCTGGGAAGTGCGTGGGGGGCTGGGTGATTCCTGACTTTCGCCCTTGGACCCAGACAGGAGATCCGGATTTTCACCAAGGACAGTGAGCGCCGCCGCCGAGGCTGAGGCCGCGGCCCGCCCGCCGCGCCGGCCCCGCATTACATCACCCCAGAGCTCCTGAGCTCCTTCCTGCTGGGGGGGTGAGGGGGTTCGCCTGGCGGATAAACACGTAACCACAGGGTCAGGGGGAGGGGGCGAGAGGAGAGAGAGAGAAAGAAGAGGCAGGACTAGTTTCCCGCACCCAGTGTGTGAGTGGGGGGCGCAATGGGGGAGTCCACGGGGAAGGGTGCTGCGCCCGCGCCACAGCCTCACGCAGCCGTACCCCTAATCCGCTCCGAATCACCACCACCGCCCTCCCACCCCACCCCCACCGCCAGCATCAACTCTCCATTCCAAGCCCAGCGCTACGGATCTCCAAGGAGCCCCGCGAGCTGCCTCCAGGGGCGCCGGCGGACCCGGCGCGCCCCGGCGCCCGCACCCCGGGGGAGCGCGCGCGAGGCGGTGGCCGCTGCGCCCCCGCCCGGCCCGGCCCGGCCCGCGGAGCCGCCCCCGCCCGGCGACAGCAGCGCAGGCGGGGTGGGGGAGGCAGAAGCGCCTCCTCCCCGCCGGGAGCCGAGGCGCCGGCGCCGGGGGAGGACCGCACCTCACCTTGCCCCCGATGAGGGGCGGATCCGGCCATGGCAGCGCCGGGAGCGGCGGCGGCGGCGAGCGGAGCCCGTCCGGCAGCACCGGCAGCTCGCCCGGAGCCGGGGGCGCCACGGCGGGGGCCCGGGAGCGCGGGGGCGCGGGCGCGCGGGGCGCGGCGGGGCCGGTGCCCGTCCTGCCCGCGCTGGAGGACTACGAGTGTAAGATCTGCTACAACTACTTCGACGCCGACCGGCGCGCGCCCAAGCTGCTGGCGTGCCTGCACACCTTCTGCCAGGAGTGCCTGAGCCAGCTGCAGCTCCGCGCCGCGGCCGCGGCCGCCTCGGCGCCCGAGCGCCCGCCGCGCCCCGCGCCCTGGCACGGCCCGCCCGGCGCCATCGCCTGCCCCGTGTGCCGCCACCGCACGCCGCTGCCCGACAGCCGCGTGCACGGGCTGCCCAACAACACCAAGCTCGCCGAGGCCTGCCCGCTGGCCCTGCGCGCCGCGCACGACCCGCTGCCCCAGGACCGCCTCCCGCCGCTGCCCGCGCGCCGCCCGCCGCCCGCCGCCGCCCCGCCGCCCGCCGCGGGCCCGCCCGCCGCGCCGCCCGCCCCGGACGCCGCCCGCGAGCCCCGCGCCCGCGCCGGCCTGCGCGCCCCGGGCGACTACGAGAGCTGCCAGAACTGCAAGCGCGCGGCGCTCACCGCCGGCTGCGTGTGCGTCGTCTTCTCCTTCCTCGCCATGGTGGTGCTGCTCTTCACCGGCCTCATCTTCGTCAACCACTACGGCGCCGGCGGCGGGGCACCCCCAGGCGGCGGCGCGCCCCCCGGATCGGCCGCGGCGGCCGGGTCGCCCTCGCCCGTGGGGCCCATCTGCCTGTCGGTGGCGAGCATCCTGGCGCTCTTCTCGGTCGTCGTCACTTGGGTCATCTGCTGGCTCAAGTACCGGCCCGAGGGCGCGGCCGCGGGCTCGGCGGGGGGCGGCGGCCCCAGGGCGCGGCTGGCGGCCGGCGGCGCGCGGAGAAGCGACACGTAGCGGCACCGCACCCCGGGCCTCCCGCTGGCACCTCCAGCCCCGCGCGACCAGAGAGGTGGGGGCCTGTGGTTCGTTGAGCTGAGCTTCTCCGCCCGCTCCCTGCGGCCCCCGGACGCGCACCCCCTGGGCGCCCCGCCACTGCGGGGCCTGAGTTTTGCGCCTTCCTTCCCACGCCCCGCCTCCTGCGCGATGGGCTACCGGGAAGCCGAGGAGGCGGGGATCCTGGGGGGCGGAGGGGGTGCCGGGTCCCTGCGGCCTGTGCACGAGCAACCTCCGCTTCACGCACCACCCTCCTCCTGGCCAGAGTGTGCAGCGACCTCCCCAGAACCCGAGGATCTGCAAAGAGAGGCGGAAAGAGAGGGGGTGGTCCCGCCGCCCCGCCTGAAAGCTGCGTTTTCTGGCTGCCGTGACTTCTGAGTTTCTTTAAATGGACAGGTGCGTGCGCGCCCGGACGCGCGCAGGTGTGTGTGGACTGCACTTGTCGGGAGGAAGAATGATGAGACGGAAACCTGAAAGGTTTTCCTGCGCCCTGGCGGCACAGGAAAGTAAGTGAGCAGGGGCGCAGGGAGTGGCGGACGCTCCCCCGGGGCCCCGCGCGGTTCCGAGCGGAGCGGCTGGACCGACCCACCTGCCGCACCGACCCACCTGCCGCCCCCCGCGCTCTGGGCTGGGGCGCAGCGCGCGTGCGCGCTCAGGTGTGCGCGCGGAGAGGTGGCGGCGCGCACAGGTCGCTGGATCCTGCAGTCTACCGCCCGGCAGAGCCCAGAAGTCCCGTCTCCTGGAAAAGTGGTGGTTTTATTCTCGGTGTAGTGCCAGGAAGTCATTTCATCTTCTGTAGCAGGACTCAGGGAGCTTAAAGAGCCCGTTCTCCCTTCTGCGCTCAAAACTGACTGACTGTTGCCCCCACCTGGAAGATATTGAAAGCTATTCACGCAGAATATAAACTGTAGGCTTCTCCCGCCTTTTTTCTTAATTTCCTATTAAAATAATTTATTTTAGAATATATGAATATGGAAATGTGCATTAACATTTCCAGAACAGTTGTTTGATAAGCAGTAATTTTTCTCCCGGTCCTCCAATCCAAATACATTTCGAAATTAGAAGCAGAAAACGAAAGTGTGTTGTTAATTGATTCAAGATTTTATACTGTGAAACAAATGGTGACTTTCAATTATCTGATAAAATAGTGCTCAGACACGAAACTGACAAGCCTTTCTTCCTTTGATTACAAATATATACTACATTTATCAGAAAATTATTTTGAATTAAGCTGTTTGATATTATTGGAAATCACTGAAATGTGCATACCCGGTCACGTTACATGAAAAAGACTAGGTCCTCTCTGATTTTGTAACTGAAAACACGTATTGCAATTGTATGTTGCAGATGGATTAGATGCCTTTTTAAAGGAAAAAAAAAAAAAAACCTCCCAACTGTTGAGAATGCATTTTATATGAAAACATTCTTTATTCCATCCTTTGAAATTTAGAATAAGACAGAGTTTTCATGCCTAAGAACTACAGAAGCTGCTGAGGGTATGCTGTTATTCCTCATGTATTTATGCAAGCTGTCTGCATGATATCCTGACACTATTCTATTAACTGAACTTGAATGAAGCATTTGTAACTATCATAAGAGTGAAGTAATTTACTGGCCGTTGATAAATGGCATGGCTGCAATTTAGGAATTGCAATATGATGTGTCGTATGCTTGCATTGTCTTAATAAAATCAAGAAGTATTTATAGAAAAAGCTACTTTTATGACATTTGTTTTGAGGGCAAATTGTTCCAAGTTATTTTCTGGTCCTTCTTTTTCTGAAATACTCTGTCCAAACACTAATTTCACATTTTGAATGGAGCTGAAAAAGAAAGAGGTTACAAATGGGATGGCATACTGCTAGGGTGGGTATTTCATGGAATTTTTTCCTAGAGTTTAACAGGACTCCCTGAAGCCTGATTGAGATCTACAATATTCAGGAGCAGCATAACCTATCCCATTCAGTAAGCAGATAATTCACTGCTGTATTATCCACTAAAACTAAGCTGTTTTCAGATTTTGTTCTCAGTTTCTGTTGCAATGTTTTCAGGTTCCTAATACTAAGAGTCACGTTGCAGAGATTGGGTTTAATTTATTTATACCTCCACTAAGTAACTCTCATTTGTAGCCTTTATATTAATCTCCAGCACTGAAATTCTGTTTGCATTCACAACTGTTTCACTGCACATCTACACATGTACAGTGTGTGTACATAGGTATATATGTCTCTGTGTGTATTTGTGTATATAACAGAACTTAGCTTTATGTATGTAACCATGTGTATATGTGTGCACAAAACATGTGTTTGTTATTTAGCTCCCTTAAATTGGCAACCCAAAGTCTGTCTAATGTTACTTCAGGACCAGCTTGCTTTTTATAGAGTTTATTTATGTTCCACAGAAGAAGGTACGCCAATGACATAAACAAATTATTTCTCACACATGAGAAAGACATCTTTGAGTCTCCTCAGTCACAATATAAACCACATTTTGCTTCTTCCATGGGTTGCAGGTGTAAGTTTCTTATGAGAAATTTGAGTTAGAATACTTTAAAATCAAATCAATATAATTAATGACTCAGTACCTAACTAAACACAGAGAGGTTTTTTATTTTTTCCTTGGATGACTTTGTTTATTGCTAATTTCTCACTTCCTTATCAGGATTTGAGTGGCAGGATGAGGAGATGGAAAACATTTCTCTGGTGTCCAGTGGTTTTCTAGCATTCAGGTCCCTCCCCCCAGCCCCAGCCTGCAGATGTGATTTAATCAAACCCGCCTCTTGTGGAAAGTGCTGGCAAACCAACACCTTAGACAAAGCAGCAATTTAGGAAGTAATTACTGGAATGACCAGGAAATTGTTGGAGGGCTCCTGGGGAGGTGGTGCTTTTCTCCCTGCCCCTGGAAATGTTCATATCCTTGGAACAATTCAACACAAAGCTGGACACATCTCCAGCCCATGAGTGTAAATGATCACAAAGTCACTGCAAAAAGCCAGTCCCGGTCTGGCCTGCACACCTACTCAGCAGCTCACCATCCCCAGGGCCTAGATTCTGGGAACACTGGTTGGAGTTATCATTATGCCTCTAGAGAGTCTCGATTTGAGTGAAAGAAACTCATCCTGTAGATGTTGGATTCAATGCTCCACTGTTGAATGCAGATTGATTTCGTGAACAATGTCCACTTTTAGAAATAATAAAATTATTATTTTGCCAACTAAAGACAAGTATCTGTACCCAGAAACTGTGATTCTGAATACTGGATCTCTTTTTCCCTTGGAAAAAGATATTGGTGAATCACTTAACTTCTTTGAGTCTTAGTCTCCTCACCTGTGAAATGGGAGCAAAAAGTATCAGCCTTGATTACCTTGTGGGTTGATGTGAGAATCTGTACTTTGGAAACTAAAGCTCTGTGTGGATCAGCAGGCTTATTCTCATTCAGGCCTCTGAGGTCTAATATCACCTCTCCAGAATGATCTCCACTGACCACTTTATCCCAAGCAAAATCTATTAAAGCCTTTCCCCCCAATACTTGTTATTATCTGCCATGATCTTATTTGTTTGTTACCCGCTTGATCTCAATCCCCTGCAACTAGAATGTAAAAACAAGGTCAAGAACCTGGCCACCCACTTTATTCACAAAACTTTAGTGGCTTCTTGCTACATGGTGAGTGATTGATAAATATCTTGTTGAGTTAGCTGAAAGGAAAACTCTGGACTGAATGTTAAGCATCTAGTTCCCTCTCCCTTACACTGTAGTTCAGTGGCTCCTGAGACCTTGGAGGACAAGGTAACCATTGGCTTTTCCAGACTTCTTAAGAATTTTTGAGAAAGATTAGCACTCTTATAGTGAAAATCTAACTACATTATATTGGCTGGACATTGGACTCCATTTGCGATCATTTTCTGCATTATGAGATTTCTTTTTTTTTTAAAGATTTATTTATTTATTTATTTATTTATTTATTTATTTATTTATTTATTATAGAGGCATGTTTATTTATTTGTTTGTTTGTTTGTTTGTTTTGTTTATACAAGCACTGGGTACAGTCAGAAGCGCGGGAGGGTGAGAGAATTCACCAGAGCCAGAGCGGGGAGCAGAGCAGGCAGAAAGACCGAAGTACACTGCTGAGGGGAGCAGTGGGCGCCAGGAGAGGTCTGCGCGCCATGTGGGACCCTCCTCCGGTGGCCGGGAAGCAGCTGGGGATCGAACCAGCGCCGCAGAGGCTGTGGGCAGCTTCGCAACCCAGCGCTCAACTGCTGTGCCACTGGGGAGGCCCAAAGATTTATTTTTATATGCATACAAGAGCTGGGGTGCAGACCAGACATGGGGGGGAGGTGAAAGGAGTCACCAGAGACAGAGTGGGGAGCAGAACAGGCAGATTGACTGAAATACACTGCCAAGGGGAGCAAAGGGCTAGGCAGGAGAGTCTGCTACACCATGTGGGTAGCTCTCTGACCTGCGTAGGGATCAAACTCATGCTGCAGAAGCTGTGGAGAGCTTCACAGTGCTGTGCTTAACCCCTTGCACCACCAGGGAGGCCCCTGCATTATGAGATTTAAAGTTATGATGCTTTGGGTTTGCAGCCTTCATAAGCACCTCTCACCACCCCCTCCAGAGCTGGCAGCATAGCAGGCACAGGCTTACATCACAGTCAAATGTCCCACAAATACACTAATTTTTGTTGTTATTCCTAATTCTGTCAATTCTTCTTTTTTAAATCATTTTAAATAAGTGATCATCACTGTCTCCATCCATCAGTCAAACTTGAGGCTTCTGTTCTCTTGGCAAAACTAAAATACACCAAGAGAAGCAAGTTTGTTTCTGTGGTAAGTTCAAAATCATTGTTGATAGAAAAAGCATTCAGGGCCTCCCTTGTGGTGCAAGGGGTTAAGACGCTGGCCCCAGCCACTGCAGCATGAGTTCGATCCCCAGTTGGCCAGGGAGCAACACACAGGGTGCCGCAG